ACACACGCAGTCGCAGGAGCACGACACAACAAAAGCACAACACACAAGATAGTGAAGGAGTGCTCCAACAAAGGAGAATGGGCGTGACTGACGTAGTGAGGGGCGACGTAGCGATGTGGTATCCTGAACAATTTTAATATTTTTAACGTTTGACAATGTATATGATAGATACATATTTTAGTTATTTTAATGTGTGAACATGGCATGCAATGAACTGGTTTGACGTGGATAAGTAAGCACCTGAAGATGGCATTATTATGCCGAAACATGTAGTGCGAGGGAGAGAAGGAGATAAATGAGTGTATGCACTGCAAGACGGATTAAATAAATCAATAACTCTTATTTGTTTAAGTTCTATATCCATTTGTAACTTACTTACTGACTTACCCTCATACTTCTGCCCCGAGGATCTAGGTAGCATGATTACCTGAAATGTTCAGACCACATAGCCTTACATTCCAGAACATGTGGCATACACATTTCAGAGAACATGCTGTCTCCATCTTAAGGGATGATAAGATAAAGGCAGCATGTTACTCTGAAAGTACATACATGGTGTCATTAGCCAGAAGATACATGGGAGTATTGATAATTTTACTGAGAGTGTTGGGAGACCTGGGAGTGAAGCGTAAATGGGAGAATGGGATTGAGGTTGAGTTTAGGGTTACATGGTGTGAAGATCTGGAAGGATATAAATGGCTTACAATAGGGTGGTCTGCATGAATTTTCTGTCTTACATAACAATGGGGAAGTTCTTGACCAGCTGAATAATTATTAGCTATTGCAGGAATATCCTATTCCTTCAGGTCATGAATAATATTGAGATTATGACCTACTGAAATTTTACTTCATGTAACTCGATAGATGAGCACCAACTTATTGAACTACATTTCATTCCAGAAGGCTCGATACTGCTGTAAACCACAAACCTCTCATAATTATATACTTTTATATATGCTGAATCTTGCTTGTATATAATCACAAAAATTCTGTACACCATCTCACAAGCTTTATTTCTGCAAATGTCGTCACCACTTAACATTTTTGCCACTGAAGCACCACAGCAGGTGGGTTCATATAATATTATACAAACACTATAAAAGTGTAAAGGGATTTAATTTTGTAAGAAGTAATACACCCAATGACTTGAAATATTGGTTTGTGTAATAACTTACAAAATGGAGCCCCTTCATAATTTTGTAGTTTCTGTATAACTTTAGGTGTATATGCACCTGTTGATGGTCAAGTAAGTGTCGTGAACATGAAGTAATGACCATGTCTGTGTCAGTTTGTATGATGGTACAGTATTCATTTGTAATGACACAGGGTTTCCAAGTTTTTTTATGACCTTTGTACTATATATCTCCCCTTAGAATCCATTACCTTGGTCATATTGTCCAGAAATAAATGGAACAATTGCGGCTGAGTGTGAAAAGTCATCAGAAACCGCATACTTTTGGTACCGTACAACACTGGATGCAGCTCCAGATATTGACAACAATGGTGGCCTCAAGTGGTGGATTGTCATATTACTGTTCTTGGCCTGGATAACTGTCTTCTTCATTGTAATGAAGGGCATCCAGTCCTCTGGAAAGGTAACAAAATATGTCATAGGATAGTATAACCAATTTTGACAGGTGAAACTATATTATTAATTTATTTGCATGTGTTCATTGTACAAGAAGTGCAAGCTGAATGCATTACGGGGAGGTAGTAATGACATCTTTCATTTCCTTTAAACCTTAATTTCCTTGCTTATTTATTTGAAAATGTCACTTATGTTTGTTTGAATTATAGGTGCACTGGTTAGTTATGAAATAAAGTTGATATAAGTAATTCTTCATTTTTATGCTTTACTACAATTTATTTGTAGAATTTATATGATTTATATGTTCTACATCTACTTATCAAATTTCCTTTAGCCTATTAATAATTGGATGAAATGAATAGCAGGAATATTCCTCGGGGTAAGGGTGGTCAGTGCATAAGGCTGATAACCTCACTGCCAACTGTGAGCCGATTGTCTAGAAAATGTGGGAGCCTCAACGTCTCACAACCCTGTGGGCTTCCACAGCTAGTTACAGGGATAGCAGTATCTCTACCTACCAATAATTGGACTTCAATTACAATATTTAATTGTGGTAAAATATTGTTGGATGGAAAATTTTGGATTTGAACAAAATTCATCCCTAGGGAATCAGCACTGAAAGGTGTCAGTTTAATTTAGTGCAGTGGATGTACTGATGGTTTACTTATGATTATGCAGCAGAGAATCTGTAGTGTAAATTAGTTTATCAGCAAGAGATTTGTAAGTTACTCACCAAGCCATGAAGACATAAGGTGAGTCTCCAGGAAAATCTTGGCACACTCTATACCTAGGCTTGAGAAGGAGGTGAACATACACATGCACACTTTAGTTGCTTTACTCGAACAGTCCAGGAACTGCGGTAAAATTCCTGGCAAGTGCTAGAAACTTTTCCTTCTCTGAAGCATCCAGTTCAGTTGTGGGCCTCACCCAGCCTCCTGTTCAATGGGTAGCAGGAGCAATTTCTTTCAAGGCAAAGAAGCTGAAGGATGAAGCCATTAACATCTATCCAGGGCTCAAGTTTAGAATGCTTGGAGCTATACCTCCATTCCCTCATGTTTTCATGGAGTGGCGCTTAATTAAACATAAGATAACTTTACTTTTATTGTTAGGCTTGGAAGTGAGAGGTTGAATACTACTTCAATATATGTTGCAGGTTGTATACTTCACATCAATGTTCCCATACCTTGTGCTCACCATTTTCTTCATTAAAGGGTTAACTTTGAAAGGAGCCAGTGCTGGACTTATCCACATGTATACACCAAAAGTAAGTAAAACCACATATTACAGCTTACTTGTAACTGTAAGGTTTGCAATCATCTCAGTTTTATTGAACACTGAATCCGTGATCTTCAGGGTTTGATTTATGAAATCTCTAGGTAGGAGGGGTTGGCTGGTAACAAGCATGCTTTGCTATGCAATACTGCTTATAGTTTGTAGTACCCTTATGAAAATATTAATGTACAAATGTTGCTGCTTAACAGTGATGATAAATCGAACCCTGGAATTGATTTAAGAAGGCAGCTGGATGTTCTGAATTGCAGAAAATAAATTTCATACATTAATTTACTTAATACTCTGCATTTTGAACTTTCTGATGTACATTTTATATTTTATGCTAATAAAGAATACAAGAACTACTATCATTATTTCCAAAATGTGTATCCATTTAGACTAACATATGTTACTCTGAATTAAAAATTAATGAACTTGGTAATTCAAGAGAGAGAAACAAAGGAACAATTGTCCTTTCATTGTAATTCTGTTTGTGCAAAAGTCAATAGTGCCACCTGAGGTGTGCTTATTTCAGAATGTCATGTCAAATCAGCTTGGTGCTGTCTATTCAAAATGAGCATACATGTGGTATATACACACACTGTGCATGTTATATTACAAAATTTCATCATCCTTACCACCATTATACTCGTATGTAATTGACCTATTACAGATATAACCTACAATTATTTCCATCTTATTTGAGAACTTCCTAAGACCCTTTTTTGTCTGGATAGAAGCAGAAATGTTTAAGATTTTCATGCAGTATAGTTTTCTTCTAAACACTTCCATTTTATATGGATCAATAGGTGAAAAGTCTGTAATCTCTTCTTTCTTCCCACATTCCTACTCATTCTGTTTCTTGCTAGTTCTGTACCCTCTTTGCTATGTCTTGTGGTACCTGGCTGAAGCACCCTGTTCCGGATCATCCCACACACCTTAATTCTAAAGCCCTTCTTTGTATCTTTGTTCTGAACATTTTCTAACATGTCCAGAAAAAGAAAGTTAAAAGCACAGAAACAAGAATCATTATTATGTCTGGTCCCACAATTTGAGATTTACTTCCAGAAAGAATAAGTACCCATTCTGTGGCCCTGGAATGTGATTGCATTTCTTGTCGGTATCACAATGTATAGTATCTAAAAGAATTAATAACATTTAAATCATGAAATTAAAGTTTATTTGCATAATTGAATAAGATGATTGGGAATGAGGATTTGAATCACATCCAAAAGCTCAATAGCAGATGCTTGCACACTGCTTTAACCCAGCAGTGCTGGTGCCCAATTTTCAGACACAAATGACCAAATGGGTCTGTGGGATCCAGGGGAATTGCAGTTGTATAATCAAGAGATAAGCCATATGCAATTATTTCAGTTGGATAATAATTAAGGTTGGAATGTTAATGTTTATGAGATCATACAGGTTTTATCCAACTGCAGAATGTTTCAGAAGAGCTCAGGACAGTAAACTCCTGGTGATCTGGTATTCAAGCACGTGGAATTATCATGCAACCAGCAAAAAGATTTCAGAAGAAATTTACCACTTTAGGAAATTACTTAAAAATCAAAGTTGCAGTGCATCCACCATGCAGCTAGCCACCATTAGTAGCACTTCTTATCATCATCCTCTGTCATGTAGGTTCCATTCCAGTAGAGAGTAGTGGAACTTTTCACCTGTCATTTCTTTATGTCAACTAGGAATATACTCACTCAAGGAGTAAGTGGAAACATATTATTTTGGCTTTGTATTGGGTTTCTATAAGAGATTTTTCTCATGAAACCCGCAAATTTATATAACTAGCAGACCCCATCACCCATACATTCTGGATAAATGGGAATAAAGCACATACACAAGGAAAGTTCCAAAAACTATAAGCCTGGGAAGAGGCACTGTAACTAAATACAATAATGATGCAACATGATTATATAAGAATATAAGGTTCATTTTATTTCTGAGTTTGCTTCCAGGCACTCCTAAAACATGGTAGTGAGAGGAAGTGAGTAGTTAGCTTCATGCCCCTAGTACTTTACCCCCAGGGAAAAAAGCCCCTAGTAGCCATTGGACAGGAGGCTGGGTGGGCCCAATTGCCACCTAGATGTTGTGGAGAGGAGAAAAATTTCTTGCTTCTCTCAGAAATTACAGCCATCCAGCCTGTAACCTCTTCCTTTATTGATGAGCTGTCTGGCTTTTACAGTGCATATAAATATGTAATATACTGTGGGTTAATTTACAACACGATCAGTATCTGAACTATGCAGCACTGAATAGCAGAGTGACCGATGAATTAGAAAGAATTTGGAAGCAAGCAATGCTGTTAGCAGCAGTGGATTTGGAGAGAAACAGTTTTAGCCTAATCATTGTATTGTCTTGGTACTTGTCTGCTGGGGATAAAGGAAACCACAAGAAACCTCAGTTAAGACAGTCTCAATCCTGGCTAAAATTTCAACTGTCCATGTCCTGACTATGAGTCTAGAGCATTGCTGCTATACCAATCTGGTCAATACTACGTATAATAACGTAATGCATCATTAGCTTTTGATGCATGAAATGTAACTGACACAAATTATGAAAAACAAACTTACCTGAAGCTATAAGATTGCATTCTTAATGCTCACATTGGATCTAAAGCCCCACTACCATGAAAGACTCACATACATCAGAATACTGCAGGAACAAAAGAGAGCTACAGCAGTGACAGAAAGGTATATGTAGTCACAGTGCTACAAGTGATGCTCTGTAGTAGAAAGGACAAAAATAAAAGAACGGGTTTCACAGATCAGGTGCATGCTGTTCCATCTTGAATGCCATGGCTACCAGGGTGACCACCCATCATTCATGAAAAGTAGACAGAACTATATCATACTGATCACCAACAACCCTCAACATCAACACCAAAAAAGACTCCATATTCACAGACACAATCCACACTACAGTTCAAGGAACAATGGAGTACTACAGTCCATTCGCGGAGACGAGAGAGTCCTCGTAAACAAATGCATGCGGTGTCTCCTTCGCTCTTTGAATGAAATCATGCAGCGATCACGTGATGCGTGTTTCGTTGCATGGGCGTCCAAAGTTCACCCTTCAATCTGAATGCAGGTTAACGTGCGTCCGAATGCAGTGAGTACACTGAGTAACTGCGCGCTTTGTCCACTCCTTGCTGTCAGCTGTGGCAACGTTGGGCTTGCTTTGTTTACGCTGACTGTCGTCTCTGCGAATGGACTATAGAAATATAAAACACCATCTAAGAAAATACCAAAATGTTTCAATTAATTTTGACCAAATTTAGCAACAATTTGGACTTATTTCAGCTAAGTTTCAGAAATATTTTAGGACAATGAACTAAAAAACCATACAGTGCAGCAACTATATATACATATAATCTACTGTATGATGATCTTAAGAGATCAAAACATATTGCAGAAGAAACAAATATAATACATGACAGTGTAGCAGACCACCAGTCTATGAACACAGCAAGAAGTTGCAACTCCAAGGCTGCCCCTGAGAATCAAATGGTTAATCAGTGCATCAGGATGCTGAACTATATATATAATTTTTTAGTTATGTGAGTAAACTTGAAAATTTCTCAATCTGTCTCATTCCTTCTTTAAAGTTTTAGCTACTGTACACTGTAATAATGACAAGGAAAGTAATCATATTTTGTGAGAAGAATGTGTGCATCTCATAGTATAGATCAAAACAAGTCAGTTGGTCATTCTGACAGTTCCCAACTACAGTAGTTAAGAATAACATTAAAAACTGTACTGTGCTCTCTTTGTTACAAATATTTCATGCTGAAAGGACTCCTTCTGATATTTTAAACATTAGTCAGCTATTCTTTTTAACATTTGCTGTATACAATGGATATACAACAATATTGAGATTTTCTAATTAATATGTATCAAATTTAAATTCTGATAGAGGCCTACTGAATAATATAGGCCCCATAATAAAAGGTGGCAACCCTGTTTCTAAAATTCAGCATGTCTTCACCCTGAGAGCAGTGAAAGGGTGCAATTGATCCTTTGGAAGAAAGACATAAGTAAAGTGACATGGATTGACTTATCATTTAAGTTCACAGATACATCATCCATCAGTTCATCAAAGTAAAACCTCAATCAACCAATGGAATATATTAGAGTGAATCACAGTTTGGGTTAACAGAAGAGCCAAACAGAATTTACCCTTGTACCTATATGTCATTTGAAAACAAAAATCTATGAGAACTTAGAAAGAGAATTTATTTTAATAAGGGCTGGTCAGTATACTAGCTTTTCTCTTTGTGTTTAAACTTTTAAGTAGCTTCAAAACAAATATGCTCTATAAGCAATGGCAGAACCAGCCTGAGTTTGTGTTAATTCCAATCTAACCCCTTAAACTGCAGCGGCAATGATTATATTTGCCACTTGAATTAACATTAAAAGCAACTCTGCATTCTTCCTGTATAGTTCATTTATGTTCCTTGTAAAATACTCAAAATAAAGAGTGATTCTTTGCCTAAACAACACAGAATGGTTGGTATTTGTAATGGAATCACAGTGCGTTTTCTATGAGCTATGAAATGAATTTTTAAATAATAATTTATATGAATTTCAGGTTTCAAAGAGCTAAGGGTTTATGCTAGATATTCCCTCAAAACAACCCTTTTGCTCCAGGGATTTCTAATGCTATAGACTATGAACCATCATTTCTGAGTTCCTGCAGGACTTGCAGATTTAAAACCATATCTCAAGTGGAGCTTAAGGACTATAATACCCCATAAAAGAGCTGGGTTGCCCTAAAAGGAGAATGTTCTTTGTCTGGAAACATTTTGTTTTGAAAGTGAGACTGATGGAGGAATCAAAATTTATTATGTTAGCAACATAGTTAATTTGTGAAAATAATTTATAAAATACAGTTTTTGTTGTTTTATTTTCCAACTCACCTGCAATAAATGCACAGAAATGTTTCTGCCAATATAAATGCCACCTGTATTATAACTTCTTC